ATATGTGAGGTGGTTGGGATATCGCTGAGGAAGACTTGAGATGGATTGATCACAAGCAAACGCGCAGTCTTGGCGCTAGCAGGTGAGCGCGCGCGAGCAGTTGACACCCAACACCCGTTACCCACGAAGTCCGTCTGCGCACTTTAAATATCCGCGCTTCCCCCTCTTGATCGAGACGCGCAAGCTGCGCAATCAGCTGAGCCGGCGACGACATGGACGAGCTCAGTGTCGCTTTCAGCGCTCTCAGTCTGCACGGCCCCAGCTTCTTCCGGATCCTTGACTTGCCTCTTGTAAGTAGTGCGCTCTGACGCACGGTGCGAAGATCGTATACTAATCGCGTTCGCAACTATCAGGAGCTGTTTAGCAGCGTTTGCGACCACTTGGACGACGACTCATTGCGAAAGACTCGACTGGTCTGTCGCACTCTCAGCCATCGTTCGGCCTTCACTTTCGGATCGCGCTTCTTCACTCATCTTGTGGTGATACCCCACACGGAAAGCTTGACCGTATTGTTGCGTTACGCTCACCACCAGAGGCTTTCGCGGTTCGTGAAGACTCTATCGATCAGCGGCGAAACTGGTCCACCTTCGACGACCTACGCTGGCATACCTGCATCGACCGTGGAAGATATGCTCACAGAAGCGCTTCAGAGTTTCGAGAATCTGGAGACTATACGGATAGATACCTGTTCGTACCTGCGCTTGGAACACCTTTCCTCGGAAGCGATCGGCCTCCGTTGCGGCCCAGAGAGACTCCGTATGGAACAGCTTCAAGGCAGCTTCACCGCCCTACATCACTTGATCCAAGTGATGATGAGATCTGTGGAGCGAGCTATGGTTTGCGACAAGATTTGCCTCGACTTGAGTTTATGTTTTAGAGGCTGGTCTACGTTGGCTCCATCGCCCAGAGCATACGAGCTTTTCGACCTCAGCTTACCTTATTGGAAGGATTCTTTGTCGTCCAGGGTTCTAAGACTTGAGATTACTACTATGGATACCGGCAGATGGTCTCACAACCTTGCTGCTTCGTGCTCGTCATTGCAGGAACTCAGCCTGCTTCCTCACCATGGATACATCAGGTTCAGCAACGCCCAGGGTGGCTTGGATGTTTGGCCGCACCTTCGTTCCCTGGCTATCTATGACGGCTGTATTGGTATTACGAATGCTGTTCTTAACGACTTCTTCAAGATGCACAAGAATACATTGGTTCGTATTATACTAAAGCATGTCTCTTTGCAGCACGAGTCCTGGTCTGGAATACTGGAGAATATCTACGAACTACCGGCTCTACAAAATGTGTGCTTTGCTTGGCTGAGTCAGAGTATAGCCTATCCAGCGCTGGAACCATGTTCGGACAGAGTGTCGACATGTCCACAGGGGGTCGCATGTAGCAATCGATCAGATGTTTTGCTCGTCATGGGAGCCCTGCTTCCAGTTCCATACACCTTCGAGTTCGAATACCCTGGCCACATTGACTATCGGATTGACTTCACACTGGCTAACGCTGCTCTGTTGTCCGCCTGGTCTGTCGCTTTGTCAACTGATTCCCCATCCGCTCCGTGGTCGAAGTTGCGGGAGAACCTAGAGAGAGTATACCACGGAAATAGCGATATCTTCGCGTGGTGATAGCACCAAAATGATAATCAAGACAGATGCGGCGACTATAAATTGTGGGTATGCCACGTAGCTTTCCCAGACACAGGGTACTGAGGCAGCTGGTCAGAAGTCAAGCAACGACTCCGGCTATCAGAAAGCAAGCTACGTATGCATTGCCGTTGCGGGCAGGGAATGGCTTGAGAAGACAATGTACGCAATAATAATTACATAGCCTACTTTATCTCGTAGATGACTAGGTGACGTGTCTTCCATGAATTTTCCTAGGCACCAGGAATGCTCTCCGCTGCTAGCTTCCTCTGTCGTACCTTCTCTCACATCAGGTTCAGGCTTAGCGTAAAAGCGCACGACCCGGGTGTTGACAAACGGGCAAGAGCGTCTCGCTCACACGATCTCTCACCTCGCATCGACGCAGACTCTTCAACCACACCCTCTCTGCAAGCGCCCCCATCGCCTCATCACCATGGTCACCACTCGAGCTCGCAAGAAGGCGGTCCTCGCCCAAGAGGAAGCGGAAGTTGCTCGGAAGTTGCTGCTGCCGTTTCGGCTACTCGACCTTCCAGCTGAGATAATCGGCAACATCTCTGATTACCTTGACGATCAAGACCTTATCAATGTACGCCGAGTATGTCGCGCACTTACCGCCCATTCGGTCAACGCTTTCGGGCAGCGGTTCTTCGGGCACCTCGTCGTCATCCTACATCCGACCAGTCTCATGACCCTCTTCGAGATCAGCCGCCACAAGACACTATCAATATACGTACACCAAGTGACTGTGAGCGGCGAGCGAATCGGATACGCGATACCTCTCACTGTGAACCAAGAGAAGCATAAGGACCTGCAAACGAGCGTCGAACAGTCTCACATGGATCTCTTGATCCTTACTGAGGTCTTGCGAGAGTTGAAGAACTTGCAAATTGTTCGCGTCGACAAATCTAGTTTCCAACATTCACTGTTTCGGACGGACAAAGCTACTATCAAGTGTGGCCGAGCGTCGATGTTCGACAAGTACTCTGTGGCCTGGAAAAAGGTGGACGACAATAGCTACAATCGAGTGTACGGGTTGACCTTGCAAGCACTGACACAAGCTCAAGTGGAGGAAAAGGTTGAGCTGGATCTCGAACTCTGGAACCCTAGCTGGCCACAGAAAACGTTCAAGTACTTCGACATCGAGTCAATATGCTGGCGCGAAAGTTTGTGCAACCGGTTGCGATGCCTCTCAATTACTGGCGGAATGGATCGTGATTGGATTGGGAGACTACTGAGCTTGAGCACCGGTATCACCAAACTTGAACTCAGGCTGACCATCAAGGTGTTGTTCCTGGCATGCGAGCAAACCGGGGCCTTGTCTTTCCCCAGTCTTCGAAACCTGAGCATCTTTTCAACCGTGATCCATCACGAGGAATGGCTCGGTTTCCTGCGACTGCATGCACCGGTACTGGAGAAAGTCGAACTTCTTTCCGTGGGCCTCCAGCATGGGACATGGCACCAATCCTTAGAGATACTTGAGTCTATGCCTCGCCTTGATAGCCTCGTTCTGGAGAAGCTCTGGGAGCAGGCGCCTTACCAGAGCTCTTCGGAGGTTCCTCTGGTACCCCCCGATCGCAACCCCGGAAGGTTGTCACTTCACAACCAGAGGAAGATCAGAGCAGCGCTCAGTGCTATGCGCGCTCATCCCAGAACAGTCGCGTCTGGTTGGATTTTCGGGCCAGCGCAAGGTTTGAGTGTGGAGGCATTCGATCATGTGGTAGACTACAGCTGGGGGTATGCTGCGATTCAGCTAGGGAATTAGAGATGAGAACATGGGTGAAGTTCAGAGAGTGCTGTGGTAGAGCAGATGTGATGTATGGATACTACAGCTCTTACTGTGCTTGTACCCAGTTTGAAACATATGTCTTAGCGCGACCCTTTCACCTCTTCCCGCCGCATCTCCATACCCCCAATTTCAACAGGCGGTTGCTCAATTTCCACAGGTTCGTGTTTGTATGCCACCGCTCCTGGTCCCAACTCCTGTATGTGCTTTGCGTGTACCTCATGTGGCGTGACGCTGGTAAGGTCTGTAGAGCCCGACATCTCTCGTGGGCGTGACGAATGCCGTCTCCTCATGATGATGAACACCGCTAATCCGATTATTATGCCTAGCCCTATGCCTCCTCCAACTGCTGCTCCCGCTATCGCGCCCGTCGACAAGCCTGAGGAGCCTGAGGGAGGTGGTGTGGACGACGGGGTCGATGTAAGTGTAGGCGTGGATGTGGCAGAGGGTGATTCACCGATGGCACCGGCGTCGCAGAAGTCGATACTGTAGTACACGAAGGTCGAATTGTAGCAGTCGATCGGTTGGATCTCTTCTTGGAAGCCGGAGCATATGTCGACGGTCGTATCGTTCATATAAATGGTGACTGCGCGCATTGTCAGCATGGCCATCCTCGCATCCATCTTGTCGCGAAGCAACATACCTGTGCATCCTGGGTCCAGGCCGACGACCTGGAAGCTCCCATAAGGGCCATTGCGCCTGAGATCTGTACATGTACCATTCGGATAGCCGTTTGGACCCTCTAAACCTCGCAATGACTCTTGGCAGTTATCATCCTCGAAAAGCGCGATCTGACTCGTTGCGAAAACGCGCGTTGCAAGTGCTGTCAGGAGGAGCAAGAGGAGGTTATGCATCATCGCGTCGGCGCGCGGTACGTTAGCCGCAAATTGGCTTTGGCGGGGCGGCTAAGCAGACAACCAGAATACGAGGGCGCCGGATCATCTCATAGCTGTTATAACTACAGCTGGTGTACGGAGCTGACGACCACTAACATGTAAGGCAACCTGAAGTTAGTTGCCCAGCTCTTGGGGGTCGTATCCATCATAGCTTCACAGGCCTGACCACTCCTTTCCTGACCTGGCATGCAGGATGCGGCATGGGTAACGTAGGCAGCGAATCGAGGCGAGGCTCCAGATTGCATGAAAAGCCACGCTGTGTTCCTGCGGGCCCACAGTGCGGCTGAGGCACTGATATCTTTTTCAGGGTTGTTAGCTGTGCTGCTGTATCACAGTGGATGCTATCTGAATGTGTGCGACGATCGTCCTCTGAGATGTTGCTGTTGTCGCGACAGCCTGCGCGCGTGCAATGAGCCCACAAGTAAGACGGCCCCTGTCGTTGTGGATTAATAACCGCTTCAAGTGTACAACGAAGGGTTGACTGTTGCCGCAGATGGCTTACTGATGGTCTGTAAAGGAGCGCCAAGTTGGCTTGGGAAGAATACGGGTACCCGTTCCGCGGCGAAAATTTGGGGGCCACGGAAAGAGCCGTGGGGCCATGACTGTGACATCCATCCAATCCTCCATGTCGCACTGCAGGAGAGCTACGCACAACACCATCCTCGATATTGAGGTTCCATGATGTCTTCCGGGAAGCAGCCAAGAATCCTTCTTTTCGGTGCCGGTAGCGTCGGAACTGTATACTTGTACCTGCTCAGCAAGGTAGCCGCGACCACTGCCGTCTGCCGCTCGAATTATGAGGTCGTAAAAAAAGATGGCTTCATCATCAATTCATCCATATTTGGTCAAAACCTCCATTTCCGACCCAACGTAGTCCGAGACTGTGGAGAAGCAGCGTCTCAATCATCAGATCCATTTGACTACATCATCGTCTGCAGCAAGGCTATCCCGGATACGGTACCGAAGCTCATCGCTTCTGCCGTCACACCTGGACATACGGCTATCGTACTTATTCAGAATGGGGTCGGTATCGAAGAAGAATACTTGAAGGCATACCCAAACAACCCGATCATCAGCGCTGTCGTCTATATGCCCGCCACCCAACGGCCAGCCGGCGTCATCAAACACGGTGAAGTTGAGAAACTTCAAGTCGGAGCCTATCCCTCTTCTGCACCAAGTAAATGTGCTAAAGCTTTCACGGAACTTGTCACAGCAGCCGGTGCTACAGCGGAATTCTACGAGGACGTTCAGCACAAGCGATGGATTAAACTACTCGTCAATGCATCCTGGAACCCCATGTGTGCTCTCGCTCTGAGCAAAGACACAGATATTCTAACTGCCTCGGAAGAGGCGGACGGTGTTGTACTAGCTGTGATGCTTGAGATTCGCGACATCGCAGCTGCGCATGGCTACGAAATCACGCGCGAGCAGGTGGACAACCAGCTTAGCCGGGCGCAAGCCAGGATCCCTACGAACGCTGGTATTGAACCTAGTATGCTTCAGGACGTTCAGTCGAATCGGAGAATAGAAGTAGAGGCTATTGTGGGCAACCCCGTTCGCATGGGTAAGGAGAAGGGTGTGGCGTGCGTACGATTGGAGATGCTATACATCCTCGCAAAAGCTTTAGATCTTCAGATTGGACGGAGGCCTTGAAGTCGGAACCGACACTGCGATATGGATCTGTAGGTAAAGTCTCGTCAACTACTCACCTTCCGGCTTTGACTGGATATTACTTCTATGGTCCTTCCCATCGACTTGAGCGAACGCCATGCTTCATAGACACCTTGATCCGGGGGTCTCTCCTTCTAATGGGACGATATCCTAGTCAAACACATCATTTGTAGCTGATGATAGCGTTCTGGCGAATAGCGCGTCTTGTCGCTGTCCCTTTCACTTCTCGTCCACCGCCGGTATCGCGCCAAGCCATCCGTTTGTCCAGCGCTCCGCATCGCAATTCGCGACTCACCACCGCTTTTTCAGAATAAACTGTCGTCATTTCCACGGTGACCAACAATAGGCACGGACCCAGCCACAATAGCAGTCAAAATATCTTTTGCCCACGCACAAAGCGATACAAACCCTCAAAACACCCGTCCTGCTTCATTGCTCTCAGTTATCAAATCAAACACTCCAATTCTTTCCCATCGCAGCAACCAACACAAGCTCTTCTATTTGACGATACCCAAAATCTCATCATACCCTGCTTTGCGAACTCACCTGCCGCACGCTATACCGACAAGATGCGCACTGTCACCATCGCCCTTCTTTGCTTCCTCTTGCTAGTAGCTCTCGACATCGGTCGCATCGCCGCATCATTTGGCGTCTTTCCGCTGGTTGTTCGCTATCTCCGCACCTTCGTCTCGTACCTATACTGGGAGATCTGCTGGGAAGTCTACTATCAGTTCACCCACAATTTCGAAGGAGTTCCCCTCTACCTCCGCTTCATCGCACTCCTCATCTGCATCTACCTCACCTTTTACCTATACGTATATATCAAGTATACCTACTGGATAGGCTCTCATCCCGAGGCCGACCAAGATCACCCCCATGAACCTGCCGAAAAGGGACAATCGCAAGACACGAAGCTCCCTGTCACTCCCACCGTCGCTCACATCACACCGCCGCCCGTCACACTACCGCCTGCAGAGCCAGCGCCTCCTTCATATCCTCCGCCGTTCGAGTTCCCCTTCACCAACTTCCGCGGCACCGGCGAGTCGTTCGCACACTCCGATCGACGCGACCCGACACACTATCCCGTTCTTCAACTGTCGACTTCTTGGGGCAATACCCGTCGCAAAGAACGCGATTACTGGCGGTCTGCACCTAGGCAACCACCACCAGCCTATACGTCTACCGAGCACGAGAAGGTCGCCGCGACACCTACCATACCGAAGCCAGAAGTGGCTCAAATCACTACGAAGTCGACAACGACTACCACGAAGGATCAGGTAGTCATCGCACCTGCCCATAAGGTTGTCGAGCTACCTCCGATATACACTCCTACCCAACCCCCACCTACCCTCCCATCAGCTCCCTCGATCGACCCTCAGCTAAAGGCTTTACAAGATGTGGAGGATAAGAAGCATCTGGTTGTTGCTGAGATGAAGTCCTTCCTAAGTACCATCGGTACTGATGCAGGATGTGAGGCACCAGCTGCTCAAATCTTGGCCTTGATGGTAGCAGCGAAAATGCACCTGATGCCATTCTTCCCAGGAGGGCTTTCTACCCTCAACCGAGATTTCCTCATCTGGAAAGACGCAATTGTCGAGTTCTGGTGCCGATTTCGGCCATATGGGTGGGAGATCCAAGAGGATGAAGATGGGAGGCTGCGAACATTCCTTCAGCAGTACAGAGATACTGCCATCTGGTTGGGGTTGGAACACCATCTTGATGACCTCACAGTTATCCCCAAACCAGCCCAGCCTCCCGCGTCAAGTACGCAAGACCCTCCAGCACCCAAGATGGGGACGCTGTCCGCCATCCCCACCACCACCAAGTACCTCCCCGCTCCCGCCATCCCGATCGCTCCGCAGCCGCAAAAGGCACCGAGTACCTCCGCGCCTATCCAACAGGCGCCTCCCCAGCAGCCGATAGTGGCCCAAGGTGCAACAGCCCTCATTGACTTCGGCAATGAAGATTGGTATGGCCTGCCGGAGAAACAGCTTATCCGTCTCACGTGGGATCGATTCAGATGGCCCAACGAGGCAGCCGCCAGTACGACCATAGGGTCATTCAATATACCAGAGCTTCTTTCGTTACCCACGAAGCATCCAGAGTTCATCATGGCATCGTATGTGAAGACGGAGCTTGAGAAAATGGCGCCAATCTTCAAACGCGCTTCAGTAGTTCTCCGACTCCAAGGTCGTGGATGCCCGTTGTTCCGTGAGCACGGACTCGAGATGGCACCGTTGATGGGCAACATGACGGCTTGCCTCTCTCGCGCTGCCGAGATGACCAATCAGTGCCAAGAGGTTGCAGATTGGGATTCTCGGGATGAATGGTACCAAGCCTGTCAGTATTTCCACCGGAACGTCTTCGGACGAAAGGGGGTGTGGGATTGGCTGTGTCACCAGTACGACTCCAGGGATAAGAAAGAGAAAGACAAGCACTACAAGACTCGTCCTCTCAGGGAGTTGTGGGAGAAGATGGCGCCGACATGGCTCCCAGACATCGCAAAGCCTTGAGTCCGACGTCGTTGTATACGTCTCACACCATTATCAGCTGTCATACCGACAGCCTCACAGTATTCAAATACCTCCTCGGTACCTCACGCCGTTTCAAACTTCACCCACAATATAGGTTGTATTCCTCAACACCTCTCTTGTCTTTTCAGTTTTACATAGAACGTATCAATGTCACCATATTAAGAAGAGTTATTCCAAGTAAAATGTGTATTAATGCTCACTCCCTATCTAAGACAATCGAAGGAAAGATGTTGTACATGTCTAAGAAACCAAGGCACGACCATCGTTGAGGTTATACTTTATTCGCGCCATGCCGAATGAGAAGCGACGAAAGACGCTTATGCGGAGGGAGTAGCGGGAGCCTCAGCAGTGGGGTTGACGTCGGAGCAGATGAGAGCCTGGCCGAGGATGGGGATGAGGCAGCACTTGGCCTGCTGGCCGGACTCAGCGCATCCGTCGATGAACTGGTTGATGCTGGTGGGGGTGGTGGTAGCTGAGAGAATGTTAGTGATTATGTTTCTGATTGGAAAGATGATGGGGAGGACGTACGAGGAGCGCAGTCCAAGTTGGCGAGGTTCAGGACATCGGTAGCGCAGCAGACGGGGTTGCCGGAAGAGCAGAGGCCAACCTGGCGCTCGTCAAGGGGAGCAGCGAAGGCAGCGGTGGCGGCGAAAGCGACAATGGCGGTGATGGTGAACTGCATTTTGAAGGTTGATTGGGTTGGTTGGTTCTTGTGAAAGAAGGAAGTGTTGTTTGGAAGTGGTGTTGTAGAGTTGTTGATGTGAGTTGAATGTGTTTGATGATGTTCAATTGTCGAGGCATCGTTGCCCTCTTTATACCTTCTCAGTCCTCATCTTGTTCAAGGTTCATTCCAAGTACACGCTTCATTACATTGCCTTCGTCATCAAACACCGGCATACCCAGGCTACGATCGTCATCGACGCCAGGGGAATTAGCTGACAGCCGGGAGCGCACGTCCATAACGGTCAAAATAACGGTGACAGGTCCGCCTGGCGTCCCCAACTTCTTCATGGCGAGTCTGCACCCGGCCAAGAATGACGTCGATCTCAGCTGGTTTGGCTCTGTGGTACCTGGCTGATCATGCTGACTGGTTGGTACCGAGGGTGGATTATCCGTTAGGGCTGTTGATCTCGAAACCTGCACGGCTGGAGTTGCTGTCGCATGAAGAATGGATACTGTGGAACGTAGATCGATATCGGAGGTATAGCCATTCAGGGCAGGGATCAGATGTCGAACGCGAACATACTTACACATTGGGCATCTTTTCGCTGCCCCTGGCACGTACATTTACTGCAGGGTGTCCTGGCTGTATGCACGTTATTCACGTCAAAGCCTCTCATAGGGTTTTGTGGCTGCCACAGACTATGCCATAGGGTGGTCGGACACCCTCCACGAGTTGAGGCTTCAGCGCCAGTGACGTACCCTAAGCTGGGGTACCGGCTACCGGAGCGCTCGTTCACAGGCGCTGCATAAGGCTCATCTCCGAGCCTCAAGTTCACCAAGTCAAACGCTTGTGGGAGTGGTCTGAGTGCGCGTAGACCGCCTGAACGGCACCTAGCATGAAAGTGTATTCATGCGAATGTGAGAATGTGTACACGATTGTCGTCTTGCTTTGACCGATCGACTTGGTGGAGGCGATGCTTCATCGTCACCCACACCACGCGTTCATTCCAACCTTGAAAATCTTTCTTTAGCAACCGGCAGATTTACCAGAGCTGACCCATGACAAGGTGTGGCAAACAGCTGTCAAAGAACTCAAGCGCCTCAATACGCCATCCGATGATGCTAGAGGTAGGTGTGACGAAGTCCAGAAAAGCGATCGAAACGTGGGGCTAAGGGGTTTAGCAAGGGTATTGGCGAATGGGAATCTAGAACCAGCTTCCAAGGAAGCCCTGTAACACGGTGGAAAACCTGGTGATGGTTCGGCTAGCGTTTGATATAGCACAAGGATGGGAATCTATAGGTACTCACAGAGTTCAAACGTCAAAGGCTGTCAAATTGTGCGAATTGTCCTAAGGCTGACATTTACATCCGTAATATCCGTTAGAGTTTGGATGAGGCCATTCGCACACATCTGGTCAGCACAACGAGACCCGCATTCGGTCCTAAACGACGAAAGAAGGTGCATTTCTCAGGAGACGTTGTGAAAATGTATGGAACGGAACGTTGCATGCCCAGGCGGCCGTTAAGCCCCACTTGACCGCGCCTTGCCTGATCCTGGCGTGACAGCCCGAGCAGCCGACCTCGCTTGCATCGATCTACGTCACAACAAAGACCCGGTTCCTGACAACGCAGCAAGATCTGAACAAGTCGCGCAGGACGATTTACATCATTTTGCTATCGCGCAACCAATCGCGACAAACACTTCATTTAACTGAAGTGCATTCTTTGAGGCGAAACGCATTCTTCCACGCGATCCTGCCATCCTATTTACGCGAGGGCGGCGAGGCTGATGGCCTAGTGCGTGTGGTGGCGCAGGGTCGACGAAACTCAGGAGCGGACGTGACAGCTCAAGGCGGTAAGTACAGCACATGCAGCGCGTAGTGGAAGGGCCAGAAGCAATGCCATGGTACCGAGATGCTCGCGCATTGCGATGAACTGTGGCCATGTGCCAGATGTGCCAGGGACATTTGCGACACACCAGGAAGGGCACGGCCATGCTTCGAAGCTCTTCGGCACCCGCCCACAGTCACCGCTCTCCTCATGTTGTTCTAGAATGACCCCAGGGTCAGATTCTAATCGACCTCTGCAGTCAGACTGCTACTACAGACAACACTACATTCGACGGCGTGAATGTCAACTTTGAGTTTGATTGATCTGGCGCTTGGTCGGGTCTACAAACGCCACGATGCCGCTACGGCGCGGCTAAGATCTCGAACCAACACCATAGCAAAGTGGACGACGATAGCCGATTACAGACTACAGTAGTAGCATCTGACCGCTTATTTGACTATTCTAATAACCTTTTCGGCGACTACCAGAGTACATGTAGAGGTTTGTAAATGGCGTCCTTCACCGCTATTCAAACTGTACTTATGGATACTGATATCCTCCATACTTACTGCGCTTCTTGCTATAGAAACAGCTCTGCTCTCTTTCTTTCGGTCAACATGGCTTGCAAAAAGTGCGAGTGAGGTTTCGTCAGCCTTATATTCTGCTTTCAACCACACTTGCCTTTGCAAGTTCCGAATCGCCATCGTTGTACGGGCGACTCCAACATTGTGAATGAAGGCGCCGCAAGACCCATCGCTGAGGAGCTTGCATCCGGTCGTGATCACATAGTTATACACCTGACCTAGAAGCCTAGATACGATAGTCAATACCTAGGTATGCAGATAAGCTAATGGGCCTACCTAGGTACCCTGACTTATCACTACATCGCAACGAAGAATACAGTAGGATGAGCTTGACAAACGAGTACTGCAGCTGGTTTTGAGGTCCCGAAGCTCTCTTTACATGGGCAGCTTCTGATTGGGATGTCGAGCATACCTACCTAGGTAAGCACTCAAAAGTACCTAGGTAGGATACGTTTTATGCACACTGCAACAATCCCATCATTGTGATATTCTGTTCCGCGTCCATACCACGACCGCGCTGACATAACGCCATATTATACCAATGGATCTGAGGCGTAGTCGAGTGTTTGAATCGATTCGGGCCGTTATGAGTCGTGCTCGCTGATAGTTCTGTGCCCCGCCTTTCTAGGGTCACGTGCAGTGGGAAATAGGTCTAGCGGCGCTCGGCAGGGTTTGCCCGCCTTCTCATTTGGAGCTATACGAGCTGCGGCAGCACCAGGAACCGCCATCGTCGCACTCAGGCACCCCACCCATCACAGAACGCGAACATCGAGCGTTTCTCTGCCTCGAATCGGCTCACATCATGTCGGGTCTCAACGAGCCACAGACCTTCCTCGCCAAGTACACCTTGTACAAGCGAGCCACCGAATACATTGCAGGATGGATTGCCGAAACCGCCGCGTCCATCGGCTTCGAAGTCAAAACGAAGGAACAAAAACAGACAAAGTCGAAATCTAAGTCGAAAAAGGGCGCGGGCAGGAAAGGCAACCAGAATGCGAAAGGTGGAGGTGGTGGCACAGTATACCAACTCGGAGTATCGGACTTTGTACCAATGGCAGAAGCGATAGCAAAAGCTGGAGAAGAAGCAGAGTCTGAGATTATGGTCCCTGTTGCTTTGTGCAGGCACTTCAGTCGCGCCATTCAAACACGTCGGAAGGTCTCGCAATGGTACAAGGCGAAAGTCAACCCGGATACGAACAGTGACCTGCGGCACGAATACTTCATCAAGGTTCTCGAGGACACCTTCGCATCCCTCAAGCCATTCCTCGGGTCGGGCGGACCAGAAATCGCACGCAAAAATGGTTCCGCTACTAATGTGGCTGACTTATCGTCACGCAATCGCTTCGCAGGGCTGACCGTCGATGAGCTTGTGGCACTAGCCGACGAGGAAGATATTGCCGAAGATACACTCCCTGACGTATCTACTGTCACGCTCGAGGAAGCTGAGGAAGACAAAGAGGACGATTTCTGGATTGCTGTTGCGCTTATGCTACAGGAACAACAGGACATGAGGGAGGTGGTCCGTGACAACTGGCAGAAATACAAGAGCGGCAAAGTCGACTTGATTGTGGCAGCCATGACCACGGATACGGCTATTAAGCTTGCTCAAAGTGCGGAGGCGAAGTTCGACTTGCTAGTAACACGACCGAAGAAATATCCAGTCACGGAGTATCCGGTCTGGACGCTCCCCGCCGTTCTTTTTTACAATAACCATGAAGATATGCACAAGTGGTCTCTCGCGGAGATTGCAAAGCCTTCCACCAGGCTTGGCGTTACAGCAGACGCCCAGAGTGAAGCACATTTCGACTTCTGGCCGGTCTTCGCTGGCTTGAAGTTCTACCTCCACAAGCACATGACAAAAAAGAACTCGATTCCGCAAGTGATGCCGAAGGACTTCGGCGA